GCCTGCGGCCCCACGGCCTGGCACCGCTCTGCGGGCGCTGCTGCTCCCTGCGCGCGTTGTCTGCTGCCATCTCCTGGGCAGAGCCCTCCCGGCACGGCCACTGTCCTGTGCCCTGTGCCCGGCGCGCTCCTCACCCCACGCAGGCCCAGGCGAGGGGCCGCCTGGGGTCCCCTCTCCCCTTCGGGGTGGGCAGCACCATGTGGCGTCAGGGCCCCGTGTGCTCGGGCCCTGCGGGCGCTGCTGCTCCCTGCGCGCGTTGTCTGCTGCCATCTCCTGGGCAGAGCCCTCCCGGCACGGCCACTGTCCTGTGCCCTGTGCCCGGCGCGCTCCTCACCCCACGCAGGCCCAGGCGAGGGGCCGCCTGGGGTCCCCTCTCCCCTTCGGGGTGGGCAGCACCATGTGGCGTCAGGGCCCCGTGTGCTCGGGCCCCGTGGCCTTGCAGCTGCTCCGGGTTGAGGGTTCCTTTGGTGTCATTGCAGCTCATGGTGCCCACCTGGAGCGGGAACCGGGCAGCGCGCAGTGGGTAATTGCAGTCACCCTAATGCTGTGAGGAAACCCGGCCAGCCCCTAAGGGACTTTTGCTCCCTGCTGGTGCCACACATTGCGAGACCCTTGGTCTGCAGGAAGCCTGGGGGCACCCAACGCAAGAGGGGAAACGGCTCTTCAGCTGGAGGTGCAGTGAGATCGTGAGTGGGAAGTGTGTCCCTTCCCTCTAGGACCTGTTTGACCCAGCATTTCACAGCCCTGGCATTGAACCTGTGGCCGAGAGGTCCAGCCGTGGCTCCAAAGGGTGGGAAAATGTCCGGGCTGCAAAGCAGCTTCCTGCCAGGCTGTCTTGGTGGAGGGGAGCATCTCAGCAGGGTCAGAATTCCTCCTGCTGGCTCGGTCTGGTCTATTGGTGGCTTAGGGAAAGTGTGGGTGGAGAAAGCCCTAAAGATGCCTTTGTCCTGGGATTGTACCAAGTTTTATATCATAGAGTTACACCTTGGAAGCAAGTCTGCTCGATCCAGGGAGAATGAGAAGTTTGACCCCAGGGGAACAAGCCTGGGGAGGGAACCTGCGAATCTCTTGGTCCCGTGAGCTCCCACCTTGTCCTCAGTGTGTGCCGGGCTGGGGATCCCTCCATCTCGTGTGGAATTAGTGCCAGGGCTGTGCCAGAATGGATGCAGGCAGATAGATGTAGCTGAGTGGCTGGGAGTGTTGGTGTCAACCTGAGCAATGGCCATGTAGGTTGCACAAGACTTGCTGTGGTTGGGCTCTGCTTGGAGCAGCTTCCAGGAGGGAGATGGGAGGGAAACAAGGAATATGCTCAGGGGATGCTCTTACATGACACTGAGCTCTGTTCCGCGCATCAAAGCTTGGAATCTCATTCCCTCTTTCATTTTTCTTTGGAGGAGCATTTCTGGTGCAGAGAACGGGTGGTGCCCGTGCCATGCTATTCCCACCTGCACCCTGTCCTCAAGATGCTCCTGGGAAGGGTATAGCCCAAGCGCTGTGTGCCACAGCTCGAGGAGCACCATGGCCCATGGCCTGGGGAAGGACGTCCCGTCCCGGAACCCCACGTGACAATGGGGGGCTCAGGTATCCTTGGCTACATCCAAGTTTTGGAGTTTGGCTTCCTGGTCCCATGCGCCTCGTCTCACTGTCACGTGGGGCCCGTTGCGGCTGAGCCCAGTCCCAGCGCTGGCACCCGGTGGCTCCGCAGATGCCAAATCCTTGCCAGGCTCACAGGGAAGGAACTGGAAGGCCTAATTTCTTTCTCACAACCCATCCTGGCCACTCCTAGGCTCTAGTCACTTACTCTGTTTGCATTGCATAATTACAGACATCGTGCGTGGAAATTAAGCCAGCATTTTTCATGCCTGCTTGTTTGCCTAAACTGTTTAAAAATTCACTCTCTCTCACGAGTTTCCTGGGGAAAAAGCTAAGCTGGTTTCTTTTGCAGCGGGGCTGGGGCGGGCGGGGGGCTC